ATTACTGCGAAGATCGCTTTCATATTCACGTCTTTCACCGCAGTTCAAATATATGACTTCCATATATTCACAACCGTTTGAACGTTTCAACCGTAAGATCTTTGGAGTTCAAAATTAAAGACGGTCAAATACTCAGCAGGAACCTGTTCGAATGCTTTTTAAATTTGAAAATATTCTTTAGAGGAATTGTTTCATGAATTTGCTTTTGCATTGTCATAAAAACTAAGGTCATTGGTCTTTCGTTTTGTTTTTTCTACTTTAATTTTCTCCCTGATTTTCCTTGCTATAAAATAAAGCGATGTCTCCTTATAATTGGCATTTGACAAGAATAAATTTTAACAACTAGATCGAATTTATGATTTTTACATTTCGTTCAATTCAAATCGTACCAGGTGGTTTCAAAATCGATTCGCTTAAAGTTTGCTTAAAGCTTGTATACTGAAATGGTATTAATCCAATTAGGAAGCCTAAGAAAGTATTGAGAAATATTTAATGACTAGGATTCACTGCTCAAGGTCGGAACTGATTAAAAAAAAATTCAATGGCCAGGTTATCAATCTTTCGAACTGAAAACGATGCGTTTCGCCGTTATTCAAATGATAATGCGCGTGAGTCGATAGAGAGTGTAATTACCGTGAGTGTCAAACGTGAGCGTCGTGTTGACAGTGATTACCTCGTGATGAGAGTGACGAATCGAAAGCGAAAAAAGACACATACAATTCTAGAAAACATATAAACCAACCTTCCTCTTTATCGAAAAGCAAGAGTGAGCCTACATCGTCAATCTAAAATAGGATAAAGTGGAAGAAAGACACAATTTCAAGGTAGTTCTCTAGGCGTCATGGTTATGAATAATCAATGAAGAACAGCATGTCTCATTGAAACACTTCAGTGTGGCTTTGTTAGCACAGACAATTATCTATTTGGAAAAAATACTGACGCCTCTTTTGAGGTTTCTTCACCTTTCGTTTGTAGAGCAAACATGATCTACCAATTATATAGTCCTGTGGACTTTGCAAGAAAGGTTAAGTTTGTTTGAACAACAATTGTAATCTTGCTAAAATAGTGCACCATCAGTGTGTAGACACCACCCCCAGACAGAATGTGCGAGATCAGTCTAAAAGACACGGCCACCATTTGAAATAGCTGAACTATGTTTCCAAGGGCAACCACGACTCAGTAGCAAAGTATCTGACTCAAATGTTAAACTGGGGACTTATAGATACAAGAAAAGTATAACTAGGAGTAAGAAAGTTTTCAAACACTGACACAGTGAGAGGGCAGACCGTACGTCATCATGGCCAGAAACATCACTTAGCCATCAACAATCTAAGGCGAGTTTTTCCGGATTTGGTGTTTAGGCAAAACAAGAAATCGACCCGCTACCAGATTCATTGTTTCTTTTTTTCACTCTGGAAAGAGCCTGATAACAATTCCTTGCAAACTTTGTTGAACATTAACTGCAATAAAGGTCCATCAAAAGAAGAATTTTGTAGAATTTCGAAGAAACTTTGAATTCAGCATAGTACAAATTTCAATAGTTACACTTTTCCAGGACTTAAAACTAGTAGAAATACCTATAAAAGAACTCTGTAATGCCGAACACTTGATGCTAAAGAAATGAAATATGTGTTGTGTCCAGAAACAAAGAAACAAACGTTAAGAAAAATCGCTCTCTGTATGATGAGTTGAAGTCAGTAAATTACATTTGAAACTGCTCTCAATCCTAACGACAATCTCGGCTTCACTCATATGACAAAAACTTAGGTTAAAATCAACGACACAAAGAGAACATAAATCTTTTTTTTTTTTTTTGGGGGGGGGAATTGTGCTTTCTTCAGCATAAAGCAATTGTACATTTCCGAATAATTAAGATACCTCTGACGATAGAACATCCTGAAAGAACGCATCATAAGTAAGACCTACCTAAATAATAAGCAAAAATACGAAAATAACGACATGTCTATATGATTAATAACGGTAATTGAACTTTGTGAAGTGCAATTTGGGTTGAAATTATACGCATGATTTGAATCACAAGTACGATTTCAGGATTTTTTAGTCTGTACAAGTGTTTTCTTGATCAAGAAATGAGCTGGTTTGTAGAAAGTTGCAAAAGAGATTTTTTTCTATTTTCCAACAATTTTATTGGTTTCTTTGAACAATTGGTTGTTGTATTTTAGTAAAGCTTCCTCATTGGCTAGGAAAGAGATGCGAGTTAGAGCAAAAAATGGTCCTATTCTTGGATAAATCGCACCAATGAGAGCCAATCAGATTACAAGGATTACCAGTAATTTAAAAATGAATGTAATAAATATTCTATATCTCCATTTTGTAAGAAGGACCTATGCGCCTTGGTATAGAGGTAAACTGAGGTTAAGAAATAATATAACTATCCACTACGATTCACTTCGGAAGCACTTCAGTGAACAATTGCTAAATAACCGCCCCTTAAATAAGTAATAGGTAACACTTTGACACGACATCAAGAGACTTACGTGGTAATTAAAACGAATTAAAAGGGATTATCACAAAACTCTGACTGAGGTACTTCGTTGTTTGACAAACCACGTAACCTAAACTACAAACGCCTTGCTGTTGGGGTTTTTGTTTCACAGTAGCGAGACCACAGGTACACTGTCGATTCTAAAATGATTTCAAGCTAGGCTTATACTGACAGACATTAGGCTTGAACACTTAGCAAATACCTGAGAGGTAAGTGCCGTTTTCGAAATTGTAACTTTGATGAATGTACTGTTAAATTGAAAAGAAAACGACGTAGTTATGTTGTCGATGCCTTCTACCGTGTTTATATATATTCATTTTCACAAACGCTGTTCGTATTTCGCAATGCGTGGTAACATTCTTTGTTAAGGAAGGATATGAGTATGGCGGTATTCGGGAGTAAAACTGAAACAAAAATAAGGCACGATGATTCCTTTTCCAAAGTTTAATCATTCGCAGATTTAACTCCTTTTTCTTATTTGGAAAATTATCACAGAGTAAAATAAATATCTTCAAGTGAAATAGACCAAGTTCTGCCTCCTTCATATGAATTTCGCATGTAAAATGTATAGGAAACTGAGTAAAACAAAAAAATATCGGAGACTTTGATAGAGTCAGCCTTTTATAAATAATTAATTAAAATTATACACAGACGTTTCAATCGTAGCAGTATCTGCAGGTTTGAAAAAAGAACCTTTTCACCAAAAGTCATTGTATATCAAAGAATGTTTGAGGATTTTATCAGTGATCATGTCTCATGTGAATGAGGAAATCCCAGAGTTGACTTAGCGCATGCAAAAAAAAAAAAAGAGAACAGTTTTTTAATTTCCCCGTTACGAGAGTGGCATATCCTCAGTTTGTAATAACATTTTGCATCACGTTCGGCTTGAAAAAGTTACCCGAAACTTCAGGCAATTCAGTTTAATTCCCCAATTTCGGAATCAACCAAATCCAAAAACATAAAAAAAATTTAGACAGTTTGCCACCTGCTTTCCATTCTTAAGCCGGCAAACTGATATTTGATAAGTACGTCAAATTAGCAGGGGTGATAAACGTCCACGAAAAAATTATAAGAACGGCTACAATGATCTCAAGTCATGACTCACTAAAAATTTCCGCTGATTAAAATTAAAGCTCTAATATCATTTTGACTGCAAGCTGCATGTAGTGATGCATTTTGGTCGGCACGTATTTGAAGATGAAGCGGTTACCTCCAAGTGTAATGTTTTCATGGCAGGAATCTGACAAATCATAACAACTCTTTGTTATTGGACGCCAAAACATCTTCTTAACAACCAAAATAAGCACATTTCCATACACCGCAAAATAAGAAAGGCTATTTAAAATGGCAGTCTTCATTAACAGAGTTTCAAAAGCGAAGCAGAAATACCCAACCAACCTGATTTAGATTTCCGTTTGTTTTGATTGTCTAAACTGATTGATACGAAGACCCATCTTCTTTACAAAAAAGCCATTAAATGTGAGCTGTTATAATTGAGAACCTGTAACTCTAAAATGGTAAGATACCGCATTCATTTTTTCGTTATGATATAAAACGTCGAAAGAGTTCACTGTTATACAGTAACAATACAACGTTAAGGCAAATTAAAATTTGATGCTGCCAAGGCAACACATAATCTCTTAAGTGTTTTTTTAACCTTCTGTTCTAAACATAGAACCCACACGATTTTAATTTCAACAAAGTTACCTACTTAGACGAGACAAGCGGTCAACTTCAACACAATATTTACTAGAAAGAACTGACCCAACACGAAAGTCACTAACGAAAGCGGGTGAAGGTTAGAGGTCTAAAGTTTAGGTCATCATTTGCCAGTACGGTAACACCCTAGGTAAATATTCTATATGTCTTAAATATCTCATTTTAAAATGGCTGTTTATGATCAAAAATCAATTCTAAAGTTTCTTCGATGACGGTCTGCACCCGCTTGACTTGACATCTGCTTTCAGTGTTTTAAAATACAAACTGTTCGCCTTCAACAATTACAATTTATTAATGCACAGCTTCAAGTAGCGTGCAGAAAAGAGTTATCATTATCATTTCATGGTTCTTAATTCATAGTTGTATTTACCTATGTGGGTTTGCACAGGATAAAGCGCCTTTTTGGCAGGACAAAGCTAAGTTACATTCCACATTTTTCGGCGAGTGCGTATGGAAACTGTTTACCATTAAAAAGCTTTTGAAAAAGTTGTCATGACTCTCCAAGCAAGCGAAGGAAGAGATTTGACTAAGTAAGGAAAAATACTAATCATAAGATTACACGTTATGATTACAAGGTATTTATATGAAAGTCATTCGACGTAGGGTTTCATTCAGACACTGATAAAAAAGTGAAGCATTGACGTCAATTTAGCATTGGCAATTTAGCAAGTGCGTCAAAGAGAATTCCTTCGCGAGGAGTATTCTTTGACGCAAACGACTAAGGTCATCAAAACGGCTTAATACATTGAGAAAATACTGTTTCTCATTCTTACAGGCGGTTGCACCCCAAAGGGTATACTAAGACGACTACAATGGACGCAATTCAAGTCACCACTGGTCTGCTGCTTGTTTTGAGTACAATAGTTCAAGCAGAAGACAAAGTGGCAGATACACACCCAACAAAATCAAACAGAAAGATCCCTGAAGGCTTTTACCTTTCTTCAAATGCTATTTACGCAAAGAATGGCACTGAAGTTATTGAACTCGACAATGTTACATTTACTGGAAACGTGTTAACAGAAGCTGAACTTTCCCGCTTCAGTTTCGACGAGAAATGTTCTCGCGGTCTTCCCTTGTCCGCATCGTGGCAATACTACGGACCGTACTCGAAACCTTCTAGACGTGGCAGTCAAATAGCCGTGGAGGGCATCTTTCCTCATATGATAAACAAAATGCTCCACGTTTGTTGCAACAGCTCCGCGACTGTAAAGTTTGGAAAGATTTTGGATTCCATTCGTGGACTGGAAGAACAACTAGACCATCCAGACAAAGCGTATGACTTTAGTTTTCCCATCACGGGTATGAGTCTGGAAGACGTAGCGTTTAAAGACATGCCATATATACCCTTTGTTCAAGCGCCCAGAGTGGCGCTACTTGTTCATGAAACGGCCGAAGACAACAAAACAACCCAGCTAATGAACACGGTGTTTAAAGCCTGGCCCATCCTCATATTCATACTCGTCGCTGCGACGCTGTCGGGAATCATCATTTGGCTTTTGGTAAGTTTTGTTTCCTTTTTTACTAAGATTTTCTGAAAGCCTCACCGCCTTCATCGTTGCTTCCTTTTTCATCAAATTTTGCCATTCCTGCCATATTTGAAATTTTTGTTGACAAGCTCTGTGCTATTGCGGGCAAAAACCCGTGCTAGTTTAGTTAGATTTCTAAATTAGTGATAAATGCTTTTCCTTTTCTATACGCTGTTGCCATCGTTATCGAAAATGTCTCCTTACGAATATCTACCATGGCATTAGATTTCAGATATTGGTGGTGAGACAGATAATAAGATTTGTGCACACGGTTTGGTATTAAAATGATTTTAGTCGACTCTGCCTTGAGCAACACTTTCCTTAACTTGAATAAATGCACGATATGTGCCTTTTTTCTTTATCAAGGAATACATCGCATAACCAATTTCGATATGAGACGTATATATTTTTGCTCATTCTTATCATCGCTGCCCTATCTTAAACGTGTGTCGTGTAATCGAATTGCAACACTTCGTGTTTTAATTTGGAAGACGGAATTTTTCTTGGGTATTCATTCACATTTACATTTTGATAATGAAAACCACGAGGAAAAAAAAAACTACGAAATTATATCAGTCTATTAAAGTTTCATATCAAAGACAGAATTTCACCTGCTTTTGGTCAAACTATTATATGTAATGTTAATATTTAAATTGTCCAATTACTCCAAGACCATTGGTCTCGCTACAATGTCTTTGTAACCTGACGGTTATATTAGCGTTTTAAATCTGGCCCCATTCTGTTTTAAAAAATCCTATTTGTGGTATATATCCTAATTCGCCTCTTAAGGTCAGTGTTAATTGCGCACTAAGACGCTTAGCGTCATGGTAAGCGATTAACATTGAACTTCATCGCATATTGACAACATCGCTTCGTTTTCTTGGTAACGCAGCTGGTTCATCGGTAAACATTACTGACCCTCTCTTGTGTAAAATACCATGAGTGCATTCAAAACAATCGTGGCTCTCTAAAAACTCTATTTGATGAATATTTTAAAAAGGTTGCACTAGTCTTTAACATCAACTTAGTGCTTGAGCTTACGCGATCTTGAATTAAGCCTGTATATAAGTAACCTCAAAAAGTTGGTGGGTGATTTTAAAATTTGCAAGTCTCATTTTTTGACGCTGCTGTGCTGGAGCTTTTTCATCACGCTTTATACTCCTTTGAAGGCGGTAAAAATAATTGTGTATCACGAGGTTCTTTGATCATAATGTGAGAGTAGACGGGAATAAATATCCAGCTAATTATGAAAATTCATCACCGAAAACTGCAAGCTAGCACTGAATATCACTTTTTTTTTGGTAATAAACTAAAAATTTGCAGGTTAAAGTTTGTTTCCAGTACAAGGTCAATGGAACGATAAGTGTTTCTTGTAACCAATATTCCCTTTAAGGTAGACTGAAGGCATGTAATTCGTGGTCAAAACATAAGCTTATCGAAATTTTCTGAAAGTTCTAAGGACATAAACAAAGGCGGAGATTGGTAGTTCATTGTCTGTCAACTTTCTATAGTGCCCCAGTTATACTCTGTTGGCGACGACTGATCCTCCCCTATCCCCTTGAAATACCATTTGGTCCCCAAATATCTTCCATTCCCCACTCTCCCCCCCTCCCCGGCGAAAAATAATGACTGTTCCCTAAACATCACACACTTTCACCCGACAGGACCGTCTCAAAAACCCAGATGAATTTCCGCGTCCGTTTATCAATGGCACCTGGGAAGGCTTTTGGTGGGCGTTCGTCACCATGACCACTGTTGGGTGAGTGAAAAACTACGAAAATCCACAATTCTTTTATCTTAAGTATCATATTTCACTTTATATAATAAATTATTATCTAAAGATAATAAGTCAAAATCAGGCACTGATGGTAAAAACATACCTTTGCTGTTTAGATATGGCGACCGTGCACCCAAGTCATTTTTGGCGCGAATCTTTTGCATCGTCTGGATTCTGGTGGGAATAATAATCATAGCCATTTTCACCGCCATTGTAACAGCCTCGTTATCAGCCAGTATCCAGCATCATTTCATTGTTCATGGCTCAGTGGTAAGACCTAAATTAGATATAATGAATGTCTTAATTAGCCATTCTCCAAGTTTATAGCTACTTTTAATTGAGTTTCGAAAACAGTTAGGGAAAAAAATTGTTTTGCTTCAGTTCGCTCTGTGATTGGTCTATTGGTCGCCACTCTATCAACCAATCAGATGCAAAACCAAAATCGAGACTTGGTCACTTGTGTGTCTCCGCGCTTTAGGCAGGTTTCTTGTCTTTACTTTGACTGCTCCTTTGGACATTTTCTTTGCTCTGATTGGCTGCTGCGATTAAATTGATTTTGGTTTCACAACATTCCCGCCATCGAACTGCGCCCAGCTTATTAACAAAACGTGAACAATTTGTATTTGCAGATCGGGGCAGTAAACGGTAGTGAAGAGTATCGCCTTGGAGTAAGCTTAAATGCTGACATGAAACGTAAGTGTTAAATACAAATTCATTTAAATTCCCGACAATTCTAATAATAATAATAGTAATAATAATGATAATAATAAACTAAAATCTCGCTATCACAAGTTTAAGTCTTAAATAAAGTCAATGAGAGAAATACAATTCACGTATAAACTCTAAGTTCATGGACATGCTGTGCATTTTAAACATCATTACGCCATTGCTAAAATCAACCTCGTACTGAAAACGTACAACCTCATACTGACCCAAGGTTCCGCTGATCTCATGACTGACTGTCTCATAAACTGATCAACCGATTCATTGACTGAAACCAGACATTACTTTTTTTTCTGATGGATTAACTTATAAATTTATTGACTTGTCAACTACTGACTGCTTGATTGATTGTTTGATTAGCTGACTAATAATTTCCTTATTGAATGAGTGATTGATTGATCGATCGATCGATCGATTGATTGATTGATTGATTGATTGAGTAAATGACTGTCTAACTCATTGATTGCTTGCTTACTCAATCTATCCATCTCCCATTTTATCCCAGCTTATCATGCCATACCAAAGATGAATTCTGACTTGCTGGAAGAGAGATTAAAGGGTTCTCTGATAGACAACTACGTACTTACTTACTACAGTAATTTTGTGAAGGATAACGACGAAGTTCGGATAGAGACTGCCTTTGAACACGCGATTACTTATGGTCTGGCAATTCGATCAAACGCATCATCACCTCGGTTAGAATGTTTCCGGCGGTATCTACGGAATCACCCCCAAGAGTCGTTTGAAATCATCGCTAAGAACCTCGAACCACTTAAGGTACAGTTTGAGGCTGGGAAAAAATGGTCACACTAATAGTGATGTTTTTTTCAAAACTGAATCAGACACTCGGGCTTTAAAATCACTTCCGCAAGGAGTACGAACGATGTTTTACCCCTCGCCGTCATACTGTAGAATTCATGGTTTGAGGATTTAAGTTTTACAAAGGGATTATCTATGATACTTTTTCGCTTTGAAAGACCTATGAAATAACATTGACATGCTTGTTGAGCTATCAATTCAACTCATAAATAAGCTACAAAGTTAAAAAGGTTTAATCTCATTAACGAAAACAGTATTGCAAAATCACACTGTCTTTCAGTAATACAACGTACCAAAGGAGTGTAGTTGTAAATTTAGCGTTCTCTGGTGTAAAGTTTGGTCTATGATCTCCGACGGATTTTCATTAATGTAACTGGTTCGAGCAGTTTTCAGCTGGGTGTCAGAATACCTAAGCCCACCTTACTCTTAACCCTTTACACCCTAACATCAGGATGCATTTTCTCCCTACTGTTCTCTATGCATTTCTTAGGATACTGACATGGAGAATTTGTTGAACAATCAAAAGCTTTTTTAATTGGTGATCATTTCCTCTATTCTCATGACCTAAATGTGTGATTTAGGGATGATGCCGCGAGGAGAAATTATACGCTGGTCACTCTTAGAGGCCAAAGGGTCAAAGTAAATGGGAACAAATTCAAAATAAACGGACAAACCAGAGGAGAGGATGAAAATAATCAATTACAGCACCAAGCTAAGCCACCGTTGGTTTTGCCTTACAGCGTTCACGTCAAAATTATTTGCTTTCCAAACAGCCTTACTTTCGAACTGAGGCCTCGATAAAAAAAACCTTTTTGTTAGAATACAATTAAAAAAACCTCTCCATAGCTATAGTGTCGCTTCAATTCGCGTCTTAACCCTTTAACTCCCAAGATTTCATTATTTATTCTCCTTACTGTCTTCCATAAAACTCTTATGATGTCAATTTGGAGAATTTGGTATTGGATCAATTAATAATCCCCTAATTGATATTTTCTTTATTCTCATCACTTCTATGCTTGATATTGTATTGATATCTCGGAAATAAGCTTTGAAATGACTGTTCGAACACGACATTCTATCTTGTCAAATTGTTCTGTTTTGCTTTTTTTTTTTTTTTTAACAGAATCCCACTGATGAAGTAAGCCAAGAGGTAAAAGCATCCGAAGGACTTTTCTTTTTTAAAGAAGAAGCCTTTCAAAACGTGCTTTTCATCCTGATAGGGGTGCTGGGATTTCTTCTACTCGTTGGAATAGCCTGGGAACTACTTTATCATCGACCCAAGCGACGTAAGAGCTTTTCTATTTTTAATTTCCTTTACTAAAATTTATGTTTTCTTTAATACAAAAATGAGGAAAATTCAGTGAGATTTCTGTATGACAGTCATTTTGAGAGCGATTTTCTGAGAAACCTAAAAACCTTCCGAATTTTTCCGCGCTGCAAACCTATCCTGTGAGAGAATCCGTTTTGTTTTCTTTCAAAAATTTACTCGTGCTTATTAACACTAAATTGCATTCGAAATTATATTATTGCCTCTTTTTTTAGCTATGTTACTCCCTGGTTCTCACAGTGATTTTCTTGGATCGTTTCCTTAATTCTTCTTGCCTGCCTTCTTGCTAGTGTACTTTGTATATATGGGGAATTGATATGCCGATCAGACAAAAAAAAACACAATTTAATTAGATACTTGTTCGATACTGATTTTTCGTGTCGCAGGTCAAAAGAGTAAGGCTACGGAGGACGAAAGTGCAATTATCTCGTTAACTCCTGCACCAAACAGCTGTGACTGTCATGAAATGTTCCTCAGTCATCAAACAGTACAAACTATCAAGTACAAATCCGCAAAGATCAAAGAACTCATCCGAGAATACGAGGAGTATTACGATGCCTGGTTACAAAGGGTGCGATCTGTTGAGCACGAAGGAAATGGCATAACGCCACAAATGGTGTGACTGAATTTGCGTGAGAGACCTTGCGTGACAGCTTTACTTTATTAATTTCACATCAGAAAACAAGATCTCAAGATCGTTCATTTGGATTAAAACAAATTTTCTCGAGCTATTTCCCTTTTGTGCAATGTAAGAAAATTTTCATCACCTGAAGGAGAAGAGAGGGGGAGGTGCCGGTCCCGATGACAGTACATTTTCGTTTTTTTTTTTTTTATATTAAAGAAAGACCAAGAACCATAAATATGGTTGAATGGCATTGTACTGACTTGCTGTATTCTCTCCGTTATGAATGTTTAAATCATTTGATGTAGCATGGACTAACACCAAACTTTATAAGTTTACAAATCAGTCAACCCTTTAACTCCCAGGATCTGGTTCTTAATTCTCCCCTCTAGCTGCTACAAATTTCCTTGCAAATAAGTTGCAAGAATTTGGTGTTAGATCAAGATAAAAACTTCTACCTGATACATTTGAATACTCTCATTACCAGTTTGCTAGATATAGAAATTGTAGGGAGAAGTTTCATGTGAATCACTTCTTGGAGTTAAAGAGTTAACTAATGCTCTTACTAATGAGAATGTGTGTCTTACTTTGTCACTTCTAGAAGCATTGAAAGGTTAAAAGGTTACTTGTTTTCTCACTAAAAGTAACAAAAAAGGGTGAAAAAAAGTTTAGGAGGCACTTAACTTATAGAATGTGTATGTTGAACAGCTTGGCAAATCTTGCCATATTGTTGCCTGTCTCATGATAACTATATATACTGATAACTGAATTATAACAAACACATCAATGTTTGTTCAATTCCTCCCTCAACTCCTCCAAAAGCAAAGCATGAGAGAGAAAGAAATGTGTGCAGCACCCATTTCAACAAGCTCCACCCTGGCTCTAACAACATAAGTAATGACTGCTGCTTACCTTGAAGTAGAGAATCCAATTAAAGCCACATCAAGTTCAAGTGCTATGCTTTTTCTAAAGAACTAAGAATGCAAGAAATCAGTGTGTGAGATAACAGAAACACAGAAGCTTAATAGAAGCAGTCACCACTGTGTTGAGGCAATCTTGATTACAGGGACAATGTACATAGCATTCCCCTCCCCCAAAGTGCCGGATAGCCTGAAATTGTAATTATATGTCAGCAAAGCTTAGTACCCGAGTTAGTAACCATTCAATGGCATGTTACCTTAAACTTGCCATTTAATGGGTAACAACTTGCAAATCAGTGCTGCGGTGTTACCCATCAAAAAGTATTTGGCAGAACTTTTAATATTTTAAGATGTGTCATTTCTAATCTGTAATTGACTTTTTAAGAGTGTGTTTATTGAACATTGAGTAACATCTTATTGATATTGGTTGCGTCAATATTGTTCTGTGTGTAGGTGCACACATCATGCACACCAATAAGCATGCAGAAAGTGCTTGCCTTAGTGCCCAGACCAACCACTTGAAGACGGGCAAACAGATACACTGACACAAGACCTGCCAGCAAATCAGCCACACCCATAGCAAAGGGCAGAGAAAGAAACTTAAGGACAGAGAATTCTACTTGTCTGTCCTTAAACAGAAATCATTTACAACCATAGCTGTTCTGCAACACCTAAAGGCTTCACAAGGGCTCAAAGCACATTCCATGTGCAGTGGAAGCTTATTCACTAAATCTACTCAGCTTAAGTAGTAGATTTTTTATCTTTATCAACTTTAATTAAACATGAAAGTTATTTAAGTCTGCACAAAGGATAGACTTGTACGAAATAAAATCAAAATAAATTTGAAAATAGCTGCTGCTGTCAAGTCTCCCAACTTTTATATCAACTTTTATATGTGAATTTTGATATATGGTGTCGTCAGAGCCCCATTTCCATTTCACCTCACAGATAACAAAATCAAAGTGGGTTATTGAAGTTGAAGAGGTGAAGTGGTTTGCTCATGATCAAAACTGAAAACCCTAGGAACAAATTTTGAAGAGACTCGGTTTAAAGCCTGCAGTGATTGTTGTTTTTTTTACAATGAGCGCCTCCCTCTAAGAAGGGAAATTCAAAGGTGAGATGAACAAGGCTTGCTCAGCTTTACGATATTTCAATAAAATTACATTTTCTGACCGAAAGGAAATACAGATGCTTAATCCTAAAAATGTTTTCGTTTATGTTCTGCAGCATTTTTGGCAGAATTCGAACAACTTAATTTCTTAAATTTCGTACACAAGAACACTTCTGTTGCAATTGTGCGCTTCGATCATTCCCTTCAATCAACTGTACTCACCAGTCCATCATTTTATGAAAAGTGAACCACTGGAATCTCCGCTTCCTGAAGTTTACAATTTGTCCCCATCATTCAAAAGCATTCGCATGATTTTTAATGTTTAGGTTTCTTGAGCGCCAAGAGCGCCATATTTTTAAAGTTTCTGTAAAACCGTGAGGGCTTGGGGTTTGCTAGCGCCAGGCTCCCAGGCTCAGGTTTACAAGTTGTCACAACGCAACTTGCTACAGGAATATTGAAGCTATCCCCAATACCACTGAATTGAATTCAACATTCTTAGCTGTTTCCCATGGTACAATCATCGGTGTTTTTTCTCCTTAACCCATGCTCGAAACCAATTAATTACAATGAGCAATTTGCTCTTGGCAAAAAAGAGAACACAACAGCTCATGATCTCTTAGTTATTCACAATAAGTCGTTGTTGAGAGCAATTATTTAAAATGATTCATGTTATCCAGCCTAGCATCTCCAAGGAGGCTAGGCTGGATAACATCACCCTTGGATGCCGGCCATGCTTTCCTATATGCAACTGGATACGAATTGAGTTTTGCTCAATTTTTCCCCGCCACTACCGAAGATAACTTAAATTCGCACCGTCAACCTTACGTTCTAAAATTAATTCAGGACAACATGATTTCCTCAAGATCACTTACCAGCTACACATAAACAATTGCAACAGCACGGAATTGATTACTAGTGTAGGACATAAAATATAAGTGCATTTAGATGCTGTGTAGTTTTCTTTCTGTATACATGAAACAATATTACACAATATGGAAACATGCCTACCTCGCTCCCTTGTAAAACTTAACATTCAGTATTCTTTGAGAGCAGAATTTGTCATTCCGCTCCATCCTACGTTTCTTTTTTTTCAATTTTTTTTATCTTTTATCGCGAATGTATGACTCATACATTACTTGAGGAAACAATTTAATTTTCGAGTGAGTTGCAAGGAAAAAATTTCATCATAGCGAAAGGAAACATCGTGCAGTTTGTTGACTTACAGTAAAAGGGAGACCAAGATTCCCGAAGAGAATTTCCTCTACCATCCTCTCGTGTTGGTTCTAAACAGATCGTAACAGGTGATGCGCGATGAAATAAGCGTGAGGCCCTTTTCTGCTCTGAGTTACAGGAGTCTGATAAACATAGGCCAATTTAAAATTCATTGCAGCTGACCCTGCCACTTTCAAGAGTGCCAAGTTTTGTAGGGGAAGCAGTAACAACAACTCAGGGTCACGCAAAATTAACTGAGAACTCGATACGTTGCAATAAATTTGCTCGGAAAAGTAAGTATGGCTGAGCATAACATGGGTTCGAGATCTTAATTCGCAAATTGCAAATGAAAATCCAGTCGTGATAACTTGTCTTTCAATGCATTGATAACAAAGCCAAATAAAGCGACCTGTCAGTTTTCTTTTTCTTTTTTTCTGCATTTCCGTACAATCAGGATCACCAAAACTTGTAATGTTTTTTCGTTTTCTGCGGAACGGGGATAGTTTTCTCCTTGACAAAGGAAAAGTTAGCGAAGAGTGTAACAAACAGAAACAAGATCAAAAAATCAATGACAACAGTGCAGTAACTCTCTTGTGATAAAAACTGGCTTTATTGATTTTTCTTGCATGGGTGTAATAAAATCTTTCATATGTTTTTTTGTATCCTCTATAAATTTGATTGATCATCATTTGGTGTTACCTAATATTTTTACTGCACTATCTTGGTAATTGAAATATTGAAACAATTATAAATTTTAGTTCCAGGAATTCTGCAACATCGGTAATCTGACGCACACAAACACCAAATCGCTTAGCGCAGAATACTGAATAGATTTTTTGAAAACAATACAGCACGTACGCTTTCGTTAAGAAGTGGGAATCCTATACGTACAAGAGAAAGGTAATCAAAGCTTTACACAATCAAAATACTCCGCAAAAAAAAACCAAGCGTTTCCACAAAGACTGTGTGCGCACACAACAGGACGTACCGGAAATTGAAGTTTAGCTTTAACAGCTTGCTATACCCCTCGCATATCTCATGAATTCCTTGCGATATTTTCCTTTGTTCATAATGGTCCTTGAAATTACCTCAAACTTAAGTATTTCAATACACAAGTCTACTCGTAACATTTACCACAAGTCAAACAAAAGTGTTAAAATTAACTGCAATCTAAGACAATCTATCCCCTCCTGAAATTAATTTGCGTTGCATTGACTTGAAATTTTACTTTACTTTTACAGTTTTGGGGAATAGATTTTAACTTCACTTACGTTTCAAGGAAAGGGGCCATTCGCTCCAGTGTGGATTTCCACAACTGATCTTTCTCATCATCGTAGTTGGTAAATTTCACTCATATTTCCTCATACATGCCGGAAAAAAAATAATGTGCTTGACAAAATTATACTGCGATAAACTAGTTACTTAAGTTAACTTCAGTGTTCACTTGACTTGAAATATCTGATTGAATAATCTCTAGAGAAACATCATACTGCTGGTCCATTCCCAAGTAAGCATCATTGATGAGATACACAGTATAGATTCTCCTTCCCAGGTCCTCAGGCGTGTAGAATGATAAGGATACGGTGCTTGACGAGCGCACCTGACTCACTCTTTTCACGGCCAACAACTCGCCCGAGTCCATCTCGCCGAGAACCACCCACCAACCGACATCTTTGGGTTTCGGAAAATGTGGAGCGTGCGCCTTTGTGTTGGATCGCTGAACAAAAAAAAGTGAATTGTTTAGAGTCAACGATTTATGGCAGTTTTAAATATTCAGGGATTTATTTTGTTTTCTTGAAGAAAGAAGTTGCTGACAAGGATCGCTGGCAAGAGTCGTACCGCATAAATCACCCTTATACATTCAACTTACAAAAGAAATCTCCTCACAAAGTCAGACAACACCTGGAAATGAGCGACGAGCCAATGCTGAGACAAACTTGTTAACTGCAGAGTGTTACCTCGACCTTACACCAAACTCTCTGAACAGTTAAAAAATATATATACTGCAGATTAACGCACCCGGTCTTTAGATTTCCAGAATTGTCTTTCTTTTTTGTTATGCGAATCGTCTTTTCTTGCCATTTTGAAATTATTAACTTTTTTAAAGACAAGTTTTGAGAGAATGTAGCCTTGACTTACATGGCACGATAAAGAATCCACCGCCTCGTATTTCTTTAAATAACGTAACAGAATCGTTTGCAGAAAAGGGAAAGAACTGTGAATATTCAATTAAAGTGTATCTGTTTCCTTACCCTAAAACCGCAGAACTCCCTGGAAATTTCAAGTATTAACACGTACTCCTGTTCTGCATGCACTGGAACCCAGTCTTTCGCTAAACTTTCGCTCGGTGTGGTATTGATGGTTTTACTTTCCTTGGTGCCCTGCTCGTTCTCAGCCCAGACTCCACGCACTTTAATCTTAACACTGACTTGAGGTAGACGACCCAACGTTTCAAAAACCTACAAAGGGATCAATAATAAAGAGAACGTAATGAAGCCCATTCGTTAACGGTAGAAAAGAACGAGCACAGGGGGGACACTCTACTAATGTGCTCGTAAATAGGCGTCAGTCTTATGCTGGTCAGGCTGTAGTTACATAAACGGTGGCCTAGGCTAGGCCCTGGCCGTGCTTATCATGGAAATTTTCTTAACAGAAATGCCTACTGGCTATAAAGGATAGATGTACAAATCCCCCATGATGAGAACTAATGTTCGTAGTTGCTAATGCTACAGAGACCGCGGGAAAAATCTGGAAATCACAACGAGACAGGATGTCCTACAACCAGTAATGTACCATTCCCGCCTCTAACAATCTCATCAACTTCGAAGATTGAAGACGAGCTTTCTCTAAGGTATAACCTGAGAACGATGCGCGCAAGGACATTGATAAATATTTCTCTACCTCAGTTATTTCTCCCGGACTCAGAGCATCTCCCAACATTCTATTCAGGATTTTCCGGTCGCCTCTGACAGCGTCTAACAGCTCCGGGAGGCATTCTAATGAACGGCCGTTAATTCGGAAAAGCGACAACAGATCTGGGTCAACACACGGTAAAGTGAGAAGGGTGCAATCATGAAGCCATCGCCCTTGAACTACCATCTGTACAAGGTGCATGCATCGAAGAGCTGTTGCCAACCAACCCTCGGCGGAAGATACGTCGATCATTGCCTGAAAGAAAATAATCCAATTAAGAGTTGCGACACGTAACTCGACCTAAATCTTCCGCGTAACCTTGAAAAGGCGAAAAGCATTCGTACATACTCCCATTATCCCATATAGCCATTTGGTGTGGTCTGTTGACACTTCCTGGTCGTTTCACACTTTGTTGAACTTACTTGCAAGATTCGTATAGCCTGATCGAGGACTGAATTTGTGTCTGTTAAGTAATCGGTACTGGGCAGCGGGAGGCGAGTGAAATGAGCTTGAAAGAGCAGATGTGCCTTGGTGTGAGGACTGTCGAAAGTGTGAGGGTCCACTTCCAAGGGGAGACTAG